TTTTCAAGGAGAAGTCCCTTTTCTCTTCCTCTAGAATGGCTCTGTTATTGTTTTAATGATCACTTTCCCCTGGGAGTTTTCACCTCTGTTTCCCTGAAAAAGTAAAAGAAAATCTAATATATTGATACAGATGATCCATTTCATGTGAGTCAGTGACACTCTGATCGTGACAGTAGCAGAGAAATCTTTGCTGCAGGAGGCCACTGAATCCAATATCAGTGGCTGGGCTTTTAAAGGACACTGGGTAGTTTTAAGCCCTATTTCTACCTGTCTGAGTTAAGATAATGAGGGTAATCTAATATTTTGCTTCAGGGCTTTAGTTACCTGCCTGTAGGGTTCAGAAGGGAACTCTGCTTCCAGGGGCAGTGCAGAGTTTAATTGGCCAAGTGCTTTATGATTTGTGTTCCGTTCCCTCTGAAGCCTCAGGTATTGGCTACTGCCAGGGGCCAAGTGCCAAACTGATGACACTCAGATTTTTGTCTGCTTTTAATATCAGTGGGCTTGTCGGGCAGATACACCAACATTTCAGCTCCTCCTCCTCAACTCCAGATTTATGCCATCACCAGAGGAGTTTTCTGGCTTTCCTCCAAAGCCCTGAAGAGAGAAATCCATTTTATGTGTCTTGCCAGCACAAACCACCAGTCATCTGGGGTTTAAAAACTTCTAGAAGGATCGTGGCATCTGTTATTTATTTAAAAATAACAAACCGGTCTTTCTCTGTGAATGATCTTTTTGATCATTAAAATGCAAATGAAACGAAAAATCAGAGTTACATATCATTTAAAGTTTTGCGTATGGGAAAAGGGCTTTTTATTTTGTTAGTCAAAATTTAAGTTTAAAAATATATCAGATAGCTCTCCCTTGCCCAAAGATCTCTGCACGTTAGGAAATTGATTTTTGTTTATCTCTGGCGAAATTCTGGCACCTCTCCTTTCATCTATAAACTTGGAATCAGTGTCCTACATCACAAATGAGCTTTTATCTTCATCTCCAATGGACTGTGTAGCTGCTGTTCCTTGGTCCTTCCAGTCGTCAATCTGTTTATCTCCTCCTGAATTATCTGTTGTAATTAGAATACATTTTCTCATCTCAAGGGGAAACCAGCTCCAAATGAGTGTTCTATAAAAGCAATTACTTTTGATATTAGATATCTGTACATAAAAACACACTATTTCTTCCAATTAAAAAGCACTAATGAATTTTGTGCCTAGAGAGGGGAGTAGCCTGCACAATGCTGTGTTTCTGTGAAGCCCAGGAACAAAAGATGAGGCCTGGAAGAGGGCAGGGAGTGTGTGCTGCACCACTGAATAGCAGATGCAGGAGAGAAGATGGTTCTGCAAGGACAGAATGTTCCTTTTTTTTCCCCTCAGCTGGTCTGTTGTCAGCACTGATGGACTGGATCCCTCTCCTCTACCTTGCCTGCAACCTCTGCCTCTCCCACTGATCCATACTGTCTTCATGTCTTCTTCTCTGATTATCTTTCCTGTCTTGATTTACAGAGAGTTTTTTGGGGTAGGAACTGTCCTTCTGACAGTTGGAAGAACTGACAGTTCTTCAAACTGTCCTTTGAAGAAGAAGAAACACATGGCAAAGCACACAAGGGGTTGAATATCAGTCCTCTTTCCAGGTAATTTGTCTACACAATCTACACAATTTCCAAGGCTTGTGGTCCTGTGGTCTCTCTGCCTGATCAGCTTGTGGGGGTGGAAAAGGAGCAGCCCTCCTGCAGGCAGAGCTGCCGAATCACTTCATCCCTTCACCATCATCCATCAGTCTCCTCACGGGATTGCTGCTCATCTGGGCATGGAGACTGGGAAGCTTTTTACTTGGGGTCTGGAGATGAGGACAAGGCACAAACCCACTCCACCTTCCAGTTTATAGAGCCAAAAAGTTGCACATCAAGTGCTTCAGCTTTACAAGTCGTTGCGGCGTTTTCCTTTCCAGACCATCAGCCCCAGGGGGCTGTTTGTCTTCTCCCTGGTACATCTGCAGAGATGGCTTGGGGTACCAGGGGACATAAACCTTTCAAACTGGACTGCAGCTATGAAAAATAAGGCTGCATTTTGGGTTTCAGGTAAATGGAAGTGCTGGAGTTGTTTAAGATTGGATGAGGTCTTGTTTGGTGCTCTCCTCCTTCTCGCAGGAAGTTGGAGCTTGTATCCCTGTGGGATGTGATTTGCTGAATGTTTCTGTGTGTCAAACCCCTCTTTAGTTATGGTCATTAACCCAAGTTTGTGCAGTATTTATGGGAATCAAGGATATACTATAGTGAAGGTGGTTGTATGGTTATTTTCAATCACTTATTTTTGGTTTGAGTTGTCGAAAGGTTAATTTTGTCCCAGAACCTCGACTCAACCTGATTTACAGCTCCCTGGAATTGTGTTGCAAATAAGAAAAAGAAAAAAAAAGGATAGTAAAATAATCACAGGTGTAATCTGATCTGGCTTTTGCCATAGTTTCTCACATAAATCTCTTTAGTACTTTTCCCATTGTGACAGGGTTTATGATGAGAAAGAGAAGATCTCGTCTCTTCCTAGAAAATTATGCATCCTGTGGAGTAATTAATCTGGTTAAGGAACTAAGGCCCGTTCATTCTGCTCTTCATTCTCCCAAAAATTTCTGTCTTACACAGAAATCACCGCAGTGTGAGCAATAAATTTGAGATGAATGGCAGACTCTAATTATTTGTGACCTTGTCGTCATCTGCAGCATTGAACTGGCTGTGGCCAATCCCAGCGCTTGGGCTGTGGATATTTTTAGTCTAAAAATTTTAAAGAAAAGATAGCTTTAAAACCAGCATCTCACTGGGCATCCAACCTGTTTTTGTGAAGGTGCTGCTGAACTGGCACTCCTTTTCTGTTTTTTCACTGCTGACCAGTGCAGGAATGGTGGATTTTGAGGTTAGCAAGTCACCATCTGCACTGTGCTAGTGATGGGAGCAATGGCTCCCTCCCAGAACAAGATCAATTAGCAGCATGAAGAGCTAGAATATCAGATTTAGGAAAAAGGTAGATGAAATAATAGTCATTATGCATGGTTTGGCAGGCTGTCTAACTGATTCCCTCCTAAGAAAAGTAGCAAAGTGCCTGATGCTTCCTGTGGGATGGAAGTTTCATTCTCCCATTACTTGTGCCTTAAAGACACAAGTATTTTGTTCCATAAACTGCAAGAGCACAGGGCGTAAAGAAAGAAGTTTTCAACTCCTGGAATTAAATTGCTGTTTAAAGGCAAGTGAGCATGCCACGTCTTGTAGACCCTTTCATCAAAGCAGGTCAGTTAACTTTAATGAAGTCATCTTCAGTTTGCTTTGATGTAACATCAGAACCCAGCCTAGATGATTCCAAATGATCAGCAACTGAATTTCCACATTGAGGTCTTTCAAGGACATAGGCTTTGTGAAGTGTCTGGTTTTCTGGTGGATTTTTTTTTATTATTTTTTAGAAGTACCTAAATTGAGATTTTTTTTGGAGGGAACTGCTGACTTTTCTCCTAAACTGAGCCCCCTTTAAGATTCCATATGTTGGGCATGTAAAGCAGAGTCTTGCAGCATCACTGCTTGCTGTTAGTGCCTGTTCAGCCTGAGACTGTATCATGCAGGAAGATTAGGCTGCTCTGCTTTTCCTTCAGGGTGGGGAGAGATTTAGAGTCTCAGACATGTAATTTCTGTAATTACTTGAGCAAGGAATAATTGCCAGGCCAGGGATGGCAACATTAGGCCCTTCTGTTCTGATTTTTCCAGAGGAAGTAAAGTTAAATACTACAGCTGGTCGAAGTGCCAAGTAGCCTCTCATCCTAAATGGGAACAAAAAGGACAAATGTTACAATTTCCTTCAAAATGAAGCTCCCTGAAATATTTTCAGGAATACTGGATTGAAGTGCTTCACTTAGTAAGGTTAGAAGAATTTCTGTGGTTTGAAATCAAGACAACCCTTGAGTTTTAGTCATGTTTCAAGAGAAAACTATGATTTGTCTTGTTCTCCACTTTTCTCACAGAAAATTCGAACAGTCCTTCTTAAATGCCCTAAGTATCATAATATTAGGCATCATAATGCTTGTAATAATTAATATAGAACCTCTCAGGGCTGCACTGGAGAATGACCATCAGCACCATAAGTCCTGTTCTCACCCAGCACACTCAGTGGTGTCTTAGCAAGGAACAGCTCAGCACAGTGCTGTGGTTTAGATTTGTCTCCAATTATTGCACAGGGTCCAGATTCTCCAGAATTTTTAGTGGCTTGTGCTGGTAACTCATGATTTTTTCATTATTTGGATTTTTTTAATAGCAGGAAGTTGATAAGCAGGACTAGGTGCTCTGCCAGCCTGCTGGGGGTCAGCCCAGCCCAGCTGGAATGTTTTCTTTAGTTCTCCTTGCCCAGTTTGAGACAGGACACGAGCCCTTCCCTGCTTGTCTTCTTGGTCAGTCTGTTGCCTCGTGCAGTGGAATCAGATTTACCCTGTGCTTCCTACCCAGCAGAAGCTGGTCACCAGTCCATAGCTGTGTACCCAAACTGGGAACCAAACCTGGACCATTCAGGTGCTCAGTGAGCTTGGAGTCACAAAGCAGATGCCTCAGGTCCAACAGGTATTGCAGAACTGACGTTAATGTGGAGTTAATGGCACGTCTCCATGTGGTGGAAATGAACGTTATTTCCCTTCAAATGAGTTGGAGCCATAATGGGCTATACTGGGAAATCCTCCAGTTCTTACAGGAAAATTTTTTCTCAATGGTTCTTTTTGGAAAAAGGAAGAAATTGCGAGAGCTGCTAATTAATTCTTTATAGTTTGCTCGTTATGCGCTGATTCTACGAGATGTGTTGATTTGGACTCTGGTTGGAAAAGCTGAGGGTAATTTCCACAGAGCCATGAGGGTTTCAGGGCTGAGCTTTGTGGGAGCTCAGGTCCCACTTATCTGAAAACATTTTGTGGTCACAGAAGGGGTTCTATCCATTACCTTTGTATGAATAATTTAAATTTTTTTTTTTTTAATCTATTTCATTTAGGTCTGGCAAAGCCCATGGGATTAGTTGAAGGTCCAGGAGGCCTGGGCCAGGGGGGAATGGCTGCTACCCTCAGAGATGATAGCCACGAGTCAGAGACTAAGTATGAAGAATACGGTTACAATGCCCAGCTCAGTGACAGGATATCACTGGACAGGTCCATCCCTGACTACAGACCAAAAAAGTAAGTTGAATTCCACATTATTACTATTATTATTATCATTATTGAGACTAAGAGGTTGATTGTTGTGATTGTTTGTTCCCTTCACATCCTTTCCTGGTTAGAGCATGACACCAGTTAGTCATACAGATACCCCTGAGTTGAGTGAAAAATCAAACAGACCAACTCAGGCACGAAGGGCCATGTTAAATGCATGGCTGATACTGTCAGTAGGGCATTAATATGCACGTTCAAGGCCTCAGATAAAATACTGCATGAGGATATTGGTGCTTCTTGGGCTTGGTTCTCTTAGAAAAAGCCTTCAGAGGTGGCAGCCTTGGTCTGTCCTCCTTGTAGTCACGAGCAATGGGAGGGGGAAGGGCAACAAACACATTACAGTCATTGGTTCCTTAAAAAAAACACAACACACCAACCACATCTAATCAACTGTCTTTAATTACATTTGATGTTCTTAGAGTTGTTGAGCCGGGGTTTGCAATGCGCTGAAACACGGACTAAGTGTAACCCATCGGGGGCCTGTAATTGCAGGGAGATTTTTTTTTTTATTTTGCCTTTGGAATGTGTGTCTTGTTTTTATTCTGCTGTTTATAGTCTTCACACGCCTGTGCTATGCTTGACATTGCAATTACATGTTTATTATTTGTGCTGATTTATTATATTTTGTATTAAATATCTTTCAAATCTTTCATATTTATGGAGTTATGTATCTTCCAGATGAGACATCCACACTGTCATCCCATGAATGACAATCAGTAATGTCTTAATGCAGAGGAGATCAGCAACAATGCCTAGTTGCTCTCAGGAGACAGAATTGAAAAGAATACTTAATTAATTTCTAATAATAATCTTCTGTTTTAAAAGACCCACTGGGGTTTCCTAGGCAGAACTGAAAGTTAAATAAAAAAAATATCTTATTAAGTGGTGAGAAAAGTTTAGCCAAGCAAAACAGCTGTGCTCTGTGAGTAGATTGCAATTGAATTAGGATTTGAGGCAGTTCAAGCTGCCAAAAAACAAAACTTCAGCTTAACTACAAATTTCATTAGCTGTGTTGCATATTAATCTGATCTCAGAAGTATTGACTCAGCGTTTGTTTTCTCAAACACTCGCTGTAGAGAAGAAAACCCAGATCCCAGAAGTGGCAAAGAGAGAACAACCCCCGGACTTGCTGTCAAGTCTTTGATGCGAGTGCACTGACTTATTCAGTGGTCTCATCCCTCCTTCTCCCTTGATGTATCCCTAACAACCCATCGTGGAATTACGCTGGGGAGAAAGAAGTAGCCTGTAGGTATGCAGATATTGGAGCTGTGCCTCAGATCTGGTCCAGAGACCCTCAAAATCGATGTGAAGTTGCTCAAATGAAAGGCGGCGAGGTTTGACCCGGGCCGTTATCGGCGGCTGCGGTCAGGTGGATGAGGATAAATGAGATGTGTTCTGCTAGGAAGCGCAAAAGCAAAGGCTGCAGAGCTTAAATCTGGCTCAGCAGCTGTCAGTGGCATGAGAGCATTTGCAAGGCAGTGATGTTTCACTTCAGATTAGACTCTTCCACCGCTTTACTGGGAAGCTTTGATGAGTCGCTCAGATAAGCTTTTTGACATGCTCCTTTTGGGTATCATCTCGTAAGGCCATGGTGCATGATTAACTGGCTGAGTTACTGGGAGAACTGCCTTCCTCCTCGTGTTTTGACACTTTTGAGGTGGTTCTAGTCAGACCTAGATGCTGGAATTGATGCACTTGTCTCTGGGTGCTGACGAGTCACAGGAAAGCCCTTCAGATTGAATTTGCTGTGAAATATGAGTGAAGGTCTGGAGAAGGCAGAAGCTCTTGTTATAGGAAGAGTTGTATTCACTTGTGTGGATTGAGAGCAGCCCTGAGGAGAAGGACTTGAGGGGTATTGGTTGACAGGAAGCTCAGAGTGACCCAGTAATGTGCACTCCCAGTCCAGAAAGCCAAACATGTCCTGGGGCTCATCCCCAGCCACAAAGTCTGTGGCCAGTCTATGAATAAAAACACTTCCCTGAATTTGCATTCCCGAAGGATTAAACCATTCTTTCTCTCCATTTAAAATAGTCAGATCTCCATATTTGCACACAGAAATAGGTATTCAAGATATGAACTGGAAGAATTTCTACTCGAGTCTGCATTGCATAGGCACAATTTATTACAGTAAACATGATTTCACTGTGAAAATTTGAGACATGAAATATTCCAGCCCTGATCAGAAATACTATCTTTTAGCTCATTTTATATTTGACCTCCCCCTTATTGTTGTCCACTATCTTATTCTGATAGAATAAGCCCTCTGTTCCACCTCCTTGCATTGGCTCATAAACATGGAGCGGTTTAATTGCTTTGCAGGAGATATTTTCTTCCCCACACAGCAAATTAAAAAAAATATGTTCCACTGAGGAGGTGTACAGCCAGCCAGCGTGACCATGAAGGCTCTTAAATTGGAGTCACCTCCACGTCCTTCCACTGCAGCAAAGTCTCAGGCCTGGGTGGGCAGCCCTGCTCTCAAGATGCTTTGCTCACATCATGCTCTGCTTTCCTACCTGCTGCTGCCAGTGCAGGTTACTCCTTTTAGCTCAGAAACCTTTTCCTTAGGAGAGGAATTGTTGTGAGCAAGCAGGAGGCAAGAGGATTTTGTGCATTTTTGTGTTTGTGTGCCAAGTAGGAGCAATGCAGTAAATAGCTCCGTTGTGATTACAAATCACACAATAATTACAGAATTACTGTGGTGTAATAAATGTCTCAGCCTCATCTCCTCAATATCAGAGATTTTTAAATATCTATCAGACATGTGTAAATAATAGCAGTATCTGAAGTTTTTCAAGGGCTGTACCACTGTAAAAAGTATGTTGCAGAGAGCTCAGGATGTTTAATGTCCTGATCTCTCTTCCCAAGAGTAAAGAATTAGCAGGGCTTTCTAGCCCTCACTAGCATAACTCTGTGCAGTGGAAGAAAGAGAAGCTTCCCTTGTAAGGAACAGGTTATTTTTTCCTTGGAAGCACATGGCTAAGCTGGAGCTTGCTCTGTGGTACTGTGGGAAAAGTGTTACTTAACGTTGAAGTTCTGTTGGAATAATTTCCATATGTGTTGTTCTATATTCAAAATCAATGTATATTTATATCAGTTATCTCTAGCAATACATGCAGGTGTAGAAGAGCCCCGAATCCTGCCCATGGGAGGTCTGCTGGGCTCTTCCCATGCCTTTCTTACCAGAATGCCAAAGGGACAGGGTTTCACTGAATAGTCAAAAGGATCTGGATCTGGAGCAGCAGAGCTGAGATTGTGGTGGATATTGTGCCCTTCCCAGCAGAAGAACCCAGAGTCAACCACCTAAACCCCTGTGGGCACTGAGAGCAGAGACAGGGAACTGGTTTGCCTTGGATGTGTGTTGGTACAACAGGCTGGCAGCAGCCGTCCCTCTGCCCTTCTGGGGGAATAAGAGCCTCCACCGCTGCCAGCTGTAGCACAGAGTTGAATCCTCTGCTCCAGGAACAAAGAATCAGACTCAATCCTTCCCAGTCATGCATGAAGACAGAGGGGCTACAGCTCCATGTGACAGCACATTCTGACTTCATCAAAGATAGAACCAGAAAAATCAAAACCTTAGGGAGCGTCATTCAAAGTTAGGGGGAAAGGCCCCCAAACTTACCAAAGCTGTTTGTTTTACAGTGCAGCATCCTGGAAAAGTGGGAAGTGTCAGCTAACCAGATGCTTTCAAACAGAAGCATCGTCTCTCAGGATAACATCAATTCCCCTGTTCTTTCTGGTGCACAGGATGGATAAGCAAGGGGTTGAATGGAACAGGTGCTGCACCTGTAAATTTGGCATTTTCTAACTTTCTACCACTTGACTTTGCAACTTAAATCACTTCTGGGCTTTCTTTTACATGCAGGACACGTCCACACATGGAGAGACACATACTCATACACATACACTTGTCAAAATCCCTTGCTGTGATGCATTATGCATACTTTTGAGAAAAGTTAATATGATCCTGGAGCTTCCATAATGGCTAAATTGGCTTTTGCACAGAATTGTCGCTGCTTGGCGAGGAACTTTAATTTAACTGATCTTTTTTTTTGTGCAGCTTGATGCTGAGTGCATTGTGGCAGTTCAGTGATAACAATAATACTAATACAGGGATTCAGTCTGCTGGCTCTATCAGAAGAGATTTCTTTGTGTTACAGTCATGGATGTTTGTATTGAGAAGATTCTGCCCTAAAGAACAAACTTATTAATGCTGTGGTAACTCGAGTCTTTAGCCAGAGAAATCTGGAAATTGCTTTCATTTATTCAGTTCTTTCATGGAAGAGAGCGTTTTCGTGGCTTGCTATAGACATCTCACAATAGCAAAGGAATTGCATCTCTTGAGCCTCGAAGTGTAATTAATGGTTCAATCCACCCTATACCTAAGGAAAAGCTTTTTTTAATTACCCATCAAAAAGAATTCTGCAGTTGATCAAACAGTGCTATCAGGGGGGCAGGCTTGGTAAATAGGCCTCTGATTTGTTCATTCAGGGTTTTAATAACAGTAGGTGGTGTGAGGCCAGGAGCTATCAAACAGCCCTTCTCTCAGAGATGGTCCTGTGAGCTCCAGCTGCTGGAGGAGGCAGCGCCATCACCTTGAGTTTTGGCCCTCTCTGTTGGCGGCAGAGCTCTGTGGGCTGGCTGTGGTGTGTGAACCATCAGTCAGCAGCTCTCTGGAGCCACACTGTATGTGTGTTTGCAGTTTCTGTGGTGAGAGGTTGATCAGTGGTGTGGCAGGGCGGTCCCTGCCCCAGGGGCAGCTCCTCTGCCCGGCCGCGTTGGACGTCGCTGCAGGAGCAGGGCAGGAAGGCAGATGGTTCTCAAAGAGCATCGTTGTTTGGATCACTGCGTTGGGGAAGGCTGGCTCTGGCGTTATTTGATTTTTCTCCACCTCTGCCACTTGCTCTGCCTCGTGACCCACATCTCAGATCCTCTGGGGGCACTGGGTGTTCTTTGCGCCGCTTAGAAAA